TTTTCTGGTAATTAGACAGTATATGTGTTAAAGTCAGATGAGACCATATATTGTAAGGAGACCAGATTATTGCAAAATTTACAGTAACATAACAGTTGATAATTAGTAGACTATAATATATTGTAAAACCAATGTAAAATGTAATTTTGATTATTTTGTAATTATATACAACGAAGCGAGGCTGCACTGAACTGAAACTCACTGCCTGCTGTGTCTTTATTTTTCCTGTTTATTCAGACTATTCTTCTGTGTGGGTCTGCCCCCTAGACCAGTCCCGTAACAGAAACTTGGGGGCTCGTCCGGGAACGATGACATCATCAGCCACCGGAAGTCGTTGATCCAGTCTTGAATCTGTGGACCAGCGTGTGTGCCTGTATACTGTATAACACAAGGAAAGCCCCAATGACCAGTGCTGCAGGACCAAGGCCTGAAGTTATAAGCAACAATGGAGGAGCGCAGCAAGCACAAGAAAACTGGTTTGGATGGTGAAAAAGAAACTGTAACACCTGGTGTAGTCCTGGTTTTGTCCTGGTTCAGGCCTGGTTTAATCCTGCCCCCCCCTTCTGCAAATGCCCTCTGTGAGGCGCTATATCATCCCACAACTAAATCTTTTATTCCTTCTGCCATAAAGCTTTTAAATGGAAAGTAAATTTGCTATTGTGTCCCTGATCAATGAGGTTTGAATGTATGGCGTCTGTTTTTCGTTTTCTTTTATGATTTATATATTTGTGCACGACCAGAGATGTGCAAACTGAATTCCCCTTTGGGATTAATAAAGTTGTTGATTGATTGATTGACTAAGATCTGATTAAAACCAGTCTATGAACCTATGACACCATGTCTATTGAAGAGGAAACCACTGATTTGTCTCTATGGAGATGTGGAGTATTGCAATAAACCAAACTATCTCTATAAAAGACAAAATGTTAATGCTCCCAGGTCAAGTTACAAGTCAGATCTGAGGAGTGACAAGTCTCACATTAATAATGTTATGCACATATTTAAAACAGCTATAACTTATAATAGGTTACATAGATAAATTTAGTGATATACTGTATAACTTTCCAGTTAAAAGAATAGCATCTCCATGGAGACAAGCAAGTAGCGGACTCCAATCAGAAAAGTTGCATAATTCCCCTTTAAGTAAATTGTAATAAACAATACAATGTACATGTACTTTAAAAATATTTTTTTAGAAATAAGAAAAAAAAAAGAATTCCAAATCAACCTTGTGTTTATTGACTAATTTCTGTACATTCTTTCATGGTGGTCTTCTGATCAGCTCCATCTCTAGTTCGTCATCTTCTGAAGACATGATTCTTCTTGTCAGTTTCATCAAATCATTTCTGATCAGCTCATGTTCTTCATCTTCTGGCAGCGGCGGACTGGCAATTGTCCTGCAAAAGCCCAGAACAGCCGTCTGCTTGTGGACCAGTCCTCAATTTTCACCGTGGGTCGATTTGTAGGGGGAAATTACAGGGCGTTTTTTTGGTCTCAATCTGCCCCTGTCTTCTGGAGATACAGTTCTTCTGGTCAGCTTCATCAAATCACTTCCGATCTGCTTTTGTCTTTCATCTTCTGGAGGCATGGTTCTTCTTGTCAGTTTCATCACATCAATTCTGATCAGCTTATCTTTTTCATCTTCTGGAAACATGGTTCTTTAGGTCAGCTTCATCAAATCACTTCCGATCTGCTCTTGTCCTTCATCTTCTGGAGACATGGTTCTTCTAGTCAGTTTCATCACGTCACTTCTGATCGGCTCATGTTCTTCATCTTCTGGCAGCGGCGAACTGGCAATTATTCTGGAAAAGCCTAAAACGGCTGTCCGCTGGTGGACCAGTGCTCAATTTCCACCGTGGGGGAAAATTCCAGGGCTGTTTTTAGGTCCCAATCCGCCCGTCTTCTGGAGATACAGTTCTTCTACTCAGTTTCATCAAGTCACTTCTGATGTACTCTTGTCCTTCATTTTCTGGAGACATGGTTCTTCTCGTCAGTTTCATCACATCACTTCTGATCAGCTCTTGTTCTTCATCTTCTGGAGAGATGGTTCTTCTCATCAGCTTCATCAAATAATTTCTGATCAGCTCGTGTTCTTCATCTTCTGGCAGCAGTGAACTGGCAATCTGTGTATTATGGAAAAGCCCAGAACAGCAGTCTGCTCATGGACCGGTCCTCAATTTCCACCGTGGGCCGATTTGTGGGGGAAAATTCCGGGGCCGTTTTTTGGTCCCAATCTGCCCCTGTCTTCTGGAGATACAGTTCTTCTGATCAGCTTCATCACATTACTTCTGATCAGCTCCTGTTCGTCATCTTCTGGAAAGACGGTTCTTACAGAAACAGAAACAGAGTTAAGGCGTGTGCACATTCAAAATAAGATACTATGGAATTATTTCTTACCTCATGTTTGTTTATCTTCTTCTGATCAGCTTCATCACATTACTTCTGATCAGCTCATGTTCTTCATCTTCTGGAAAGACGGTTCTTATGGTCAGCTTAATCAAATCACTTCCGATCTGCTGTTGTCCTTCATCTTCTAGAGACATAGTTCGTCTCGTCAGCTTCATCACATCACTTCTGATCAGCTCCTGTTCATCATCTTCTGGAGACATGTTTTTTTCTCTTCAGCTTCATTAGATCTCAGGACCACGGCGCTCAGATGGCCCCAGAGTTAAGGCGTGTGCATATTCAAAATAAGCTACTATGGAATTATTTCTTACCCCATGTTTGTTTATCTTCTTCTGATCAGCTTCATCACATCACTTCTGATCAGCTCCTGTTCGTCATCTTCTGGAGACATGTTTTTTTCTCTTCAGCTTCATTAGATCTCAGGACCACGGCGCTCAGATGGCCCCTCCAATCCAGTCACCATGGGAATAGAAACAGAAACAGAAACAGAGTTAAGGCGTGTGCACATTCAAAATAAGCTACTATGGAATTATTTCTTACCTCATGTTTGTCAAATGATTTTAATATGACTTAAAATAAAACACCTAAACCTAGAGAGGAAAAGCACTGCCATCTCTGAAGTTACAATTCTTAACAGTACTATAACAAGTTGTACTGCCAAGAATTGTAACTGCAGAGACGGGAGTATGTTCACTGTCTTTTACAAGAAAACAAAACAAACACCCAACGTACATACTTTCACAAACAAAACAACAACCATTCAGTTACAACTGAATCAGAACAATTACAGTCACTCAGAACAACAAAATTCACTATTTCTGAACAGTCTTCAGTGTTAACTAATGAAGTACATGTTTCATTATGTATTTTTTTACCAACACATAAGACTATTAAAGAAAAAAAAAAGGAGAAGTAGGGAGTGTCCCACTGATTGGTGAGTTAGTGAATAAACCCACATCTCAAGATACAATCATTCAAAACAGTCTCCAAAAAGACTGTTTACAAAGGCTTTCAGTAAAATACACATTTGATTGGATTTGAAATGGCACATTACAGGCCATAAAATGTGAATCCAAGACAACAAGCACAGGAGATAGGAGTGAACAAAGCCACACCTCCACACTTTATGATTATTCTCTCATAGTTATTATAATGAGATTTGCAGTTGTTGAGAATATGGCCTTACTGCCTTAAAACTCCGTATAATATACTTTTTTTGTATAAAACAGTTAGTCCTTAGTAATTGGAATACTAAGTACTATAAAACACACTCTCACCCCTAACCCTCCTATGCCCAGAAAAACACAAGTTTACAGTAAATGCAAGGTGTACTATGCAGGAATTTCTGAATAAATTTAAATCATTTAGCACCCTAGCACTTTTTCAGTAAAGTTAAAATAAAATGGAAAAATAATTAATATAATAATAATGATAATAATAATGATAATAATAATAATAATAATAATAATTACTATTATTATTATTATTATTATTATCATCATTATCATGATAATGATAATAATAATAATAATAATAATAATAATAATAATAATAATAATAATAATAATAATAATATAATAATAATAATAATAATATAATTATTATTATTATTATTATTATTCATTATTATTATTATTATTATATTAATTATTTTTCCATTTTATTTTAACTTGTACATATACATTTATATAATTGTCTTATCTGACAACTGCATCTTGCTATCTTTTTTTGTGCTACATGGATGGACACAATCAGAAAAGTTACATAAAGGCTTTGACTTCTTAAATATAAGACTATAGACACAATTAAACTCCACTCCAGATCTTTCCAAGATGGTGCCAGATTTAATTGGATTTTTATGCAGAACTCAATGTTCCCATCTTTTTATAATCTGTCTGAGGAGATGACTTGGGCTGATTACTGAAACTATAATATTGGTTTTGCCCTGACAATCTCATAATGAGCCACGGAGATTGTAGATGGTGTGACATAAATCTACTTGCATTACTAATTCTTTCAAATACAGTGGAAAGCAATAGAGCAGTGGTTAATGCAGAGGTAATACCCCTGTCATTTACACTTGGGCAGATTAAATAAATTGCAGAGGTAATACCCCTGTAGTCACTTACACTTGGGCAGACTAAATAAATTGTGCTGTATAAAAGATCATTTATAATACAAATTATAGACTGACATCCATTAAGAGCCAATCAATTATACAGGCCAATGAATTGTGTAGGCTATTAATCACATTCTGGCAAATATTCTAAATATATTCACAAGCTCAGAAACAATCATCAAATTATATGCATTGGATTTGCGTACTGGATTTGCAAACAGCAGCTCTTACAGATAAACATTTTCTATATCTATGTTAATGCATTGGACACAATGCCAAATTTAAACCTATGCAAGACAAACTAACAAACAATTACAAGTACAGTAAGGCATAAATTATTAGTCAATAAATTATAAAGAAGATGTAAAGGGCTAAAATATAACATGCATTCAGTTACTTGAAGGTAATGGACTCAATTTCCCATGAGCCTCTTTTCCGGGGAGAGACCGTGACGTATAATGTAGTCGACGCACATTTGACCTGCATCTGACCGACAACACGATTTCAGTGATCATAACATGGGAATTACACTGTGCTGCAGTGTCAGTCGGGCTCGTTAGCGTCGTGTCTTGTGTTTTATCATTTTCGTTTATCGTTAAACCCAGGGGATCTTTTTATGAGTTAGCTGTTAAGCTTTGACGCCGATAAACGTGTTAGTCCAAGATGACAGTCCCAGTTCTGCACAATACGGGAGTCCTATACAGACGCGTCCTGTCCCAGTTTCCCCAGGACATTAGTTTAGCTTTCGCCTATGGATCTGGAGTGTTCAAACAACATGGGACCAGCCAAGGTCAAATGGACGTAAGTGTTGTCAGTTTCTCATAGTCTGTGTTCAGTTAATCTTTGAAGACTGAAACTTAAGGTTTAACTATATTCTGAGAAACAATGCATTTAGCTAACCATGACCTAAAAGCGAATGGAAAGCAAGCAGAGGTGTATAGAATGATCACAATGCCATGTATGAAATAGAGAAGGGTGTATTTTGATATATTATTTGTAATTGCCTACTGCTTGCAAGACTTGTGAAATTACTTCTTAAACTCATACTATTTTAGTACCCATCTGCACTGGTAATAAACATTTACAAAAGCGCCCTGCCCCCAATGAATACCTTCATCATTGACCAACTACTCAGTACAAAACTTTGTAACCATTTTGGAATTTTGTTTTCTGATTAATTGATTACTGCAGTTTTAGACCAGGCAAACAAATGACTCTTTTGAAAACTATCACTCACTGCTTATATAGTCAGAATCTTATGTGTGCTGCTTTCTCTACTTGAAGTGGCCTCAGTAATAGTTAATTTCATTCATTCTTGTGCTTTCTTCAGAAAAATATGCTGGATTTTGTGTTTGCTGTGGACGACCCGGTTACATGGCACACATTGAACCTCCTCCAAAATCGAAAGCACTACTCCATCCTCAAGTTCCTGGGGCCGACCAAGATCAGTTCAATTCAAAACGACCATGGAGCTTCAGTGTATTATAACACACTAGTTCCTTTGGATGGAAGGGTCAGAGACCTATCTGCTTTGAATTTTATTAGCTAGCGGTTAGAAATACTTTGACTCAAAACTTAACCTTTTTCAATTTTTATTTTATAGACCATAAAGTATGGTGTAATAAGCACGGACTCTCTCATTGATGACCTGATGCACTGGAAAACCCTGTATGTCGCTGGACGCCTTCACAAACCAGTCAGTGCTCCAATTATTCATCTCAAACTTTGTATTGGTCATTATGCAAACTTAAATGCTGTGTCTCCCATGTCTGTGGCGACAGGTGAAGATGTTGGTGCAGAGTGACAATGGAAAACTCCGAGCTGCTCTTGTGGCTAATTTAAAAAGTGCTGTAACTGCCTCATTTCTCATGTTGCCTGAGAGCTTCAGTGAGGAGGACCTATTTCTACAGATTGCTGGTCTTTCTTATGCAGGTAAGAATGCACACATTTGCATAGAACTTAAAGGTGCACTGTGCAACTTGTCTGGTGGAGAGTCTGCCACCTGCTTGTATCATTAATATGAGCAATGACCTTTGCAAGGAGTCAAGCAGATGCAGATTCGATACCATAAAAAATGAATCTTAATGGCTATTTTGCCTTTTCAGGTGATTTTAGGATGGTGATTGGAGAAGATAAATCTAAAGTAGCCAATATTGTCAAAGACAATTTTCAGTACTTCAGAATGCTGTACAACAACATTTTAAAAGACTGTCCACAGGTCGTCTACAAGCCCCAGCAAGGAAAACTAGAGGTACATTTGGAATGAACTTGATTTAACAATATCTAAATCTTACGGAAACATTATTACTCCTTACTATACGATATTTATCACAACATTTTGACAAACAGAATTGTAGATATGCTCAGTTTTTTATTTTAATGTCTTACAAGAGTAAAGTGCTACAATAACTGTCATATTCTAAGGAATTAAGTTTGTTTTTAGCTTTTGCTGCCACAAGACAATGCATTTATTTAAAAAAAAAGGCTTATTTTCTTATAGCCTCATACATTATCGTAAGATTTGGCAAAACAATAAATTATATTTCAGGTATTGTTTCAACCCTACTTGATATTATAGCAGATTAAGTGAAAAGATGATTTAGTTGATAATGGTTTGGGTTGAGTTAGCGATCGGTTAGCCAGTACAAACTTGGCCTGAGCACATGCCCCCAGTCCAGTCACAGTATGTGGTAACTTCACGTAAACTTGATTTAAAGAAGATCTCCTTATTCAGCATCAAGTCGTTGTATCCATTTGAGCTCAACTGTGTTAAAATGTATGTGTGTAGAGTAATGAAGTCTCTGCAATAACACTATAATTGGTTTAGACTCTGCTGGTTTATTTGCTGTGCTGTTCCTCTGTAGGTGGATAAGAGTCCCGAGGGTCAGTTCGTTCAGCTGATGGCGTTACCTCGAACGCTGCAGCAAAGAATTACAAAGTTAGTGGATCCTCCGGGAAAGAACCGCGATGTGGAGGAGATCCTGCTGCAGGTGGCTCAGGATCCTGACTGTGGAGCTGTCGTACAACAAGGTACAGATACAAATCCTCAGAAGCACTGGCTATAATGACATGTTAAGATAATATAAAATTGTTCAGTGTAATACTTATGACAAAAGAGAAAAGCTTTATCATTTATTCTTCAAATTTGTGGCAATGCTGTATATTGTGCGTACAGCATACGATTACTACCACAGTTAAATACAGATAGTACTGTTAGCAGAATATTTCATAATCCTCAAACATTTTAGAACTATGGTTATAAACCTAAATTGTAATATAATTTATTTGAGTTGATTAATTAAAAGTCTTGTAACACACAGCTTCCAAAATAAAATACAACATTTATTTTCTTGATTAGCAAAAGCCTGTTTTCTTATGTTTATTCCATTTTATTTTAAAATTACTTTTTTCCTTTTTTTGTTAATACTTCTGCTTATGAGCTAAGCCTTAATGTGCCTTGTTTTGTAGAGCAGAGGGAAATCAATCTCCCATAATTCTTCTGTGGTGCATTTCATAATAATATGATTACCATCTTCAGCTCATAAGCAGCTCATAAAATCTTGTACAAAGTGGTGATGTACGAGGGTGACTGCGAGCATGTTTTTGTTTTGTTTATTCTGACAGGAATCTCATCAATCGTCAAGTCCTCCAGTATAACGCAGAGTATTAAAGGCATCGCTACTGCTGGTAAGCACACTGCAGTTTTTCATCTTGTTTGCAGAATAAATAAATCATGAGGGAAAATAGAATTTTATAATCTGTCACAATTACACTCTGCTATCGCTTTGATGGTGAATATTGCAGTACTTTACTGAAAACAGAAAATGGTCTTGACTTAATCCAGACTTTATAAAGAATACACTGGGGCTGTGAAACTGTAATAAATTTTAATTGAATTGAGATTAATAATAATTAATGGAACATCTTTTTTTTCAGATGTATTGAAATCTAAGACAAAATAAAATGGAAAATTTTGGTTATTTGTCTGCCATATTGCTCAGCCTTAGAATAAAATCAAGAATTTCATTAGTGCACAACAGCATTTGGTAGCCCTTGGTTAAATGAATGATGACGTTTAAGACTCTAGAGACTCCATAGTCTTTTCTTTCAATACACTCGGCTTTCTTGCTATGCAGGTGCTGTATGTATCTCTTTTACAATAAAGTTGCCAACTAACGCAGCCCTAATTGTGTAACTCCTTGTTATAAAGTTTTCATATAAGTCTAATGTAATTTTCCAAGTACACAAATTAACTGTATTGTTAATTAATTGTAGAATTAATTAGGCCTGTCAAAATAACACAATTTAAAGCATGATATATTGCTATAGAGAAATATTGTGATAAATGATCATATTGAAACTACTTTATGCCTCTGACACAAGCCTGAGTTGCAACAAATAAATGTCAGAATGAACCAGTAATTAGGCATAGAAGTTATTTATTCTGCCATCTACATCTCAAATCTTATTGTAATACATAAAAATAGCAAAAATCTCCCCATTATTGCAAAGAAATTGTACACACGATAAATTTTGAGCCCCAAAATATATTGTTCCAGCTACCATATATTGAACAATAAGTAGATGTAGTTATTATCATGACAGGCCTAGAATTAATACAATTTTGTCATTTTCCTCAGGCATGTGGAAAACCGTCTCCTACAGCTCGAAGAAACTCATCAAAATGTGGAAGGGCTGGAGGAGGAAGCCTGCTGTGTCTGAGATGTCCTGATTTTACTCAACTTAAAGACTCTTGTTTGTCCTTTGACTGAAGTGTCCTCTGTCCTGGTCTCTGCTCGTCTCACCACATGTCCCCACTGCAGTATATGACCAAAGGGAGCACTGTTAATGCCTGTACCTCAATGTTAATGATTTTGAAAGGCCCATGTTTCAAGAGTATAGCTGAAAATGGTGACCTTTGAGGGAACTGTGGACAAGAGACTGTGGAGATTGAACTGCTGCTACTACTCTGGAAAGATGTGTACAGAAAACATTGAAAGGGAAAGGGTTTGGGAATTAAGTATTGCCTGAAATATATGTTAACTTATCAACACACAATCGTGAATGACAGTTGTGTCTCAACCTTAATTCAAGCACAACTTTCACTAGTATGAGAAAACGCCCGTCACCTCACCGGGACCTATGTTCACCTTTGTATTTTTAATAAATAATAATAATAAAATCCACTGACATACATTTCTTGGGTGTTTGTGAAACTACACCCAAGTACTAAACTTTTTTTTTTTTTTTTTTACAGAGCATACATAGCTACAGTTTTATTGTGAAGGAATGAAGAAAACCAATCTCCACTATTTACTCAGCACACAAGCTGTTCTGTGGCACTGTTCAAATCCGCTGTCATCTGCAGTGTGCAGGAGAATCTGGGTAGTGTTTTTTTTTTTTTTTTTACAAAGTGAAACTGGGGAAAGGGGAGGCATTTGATGAAACCTTTACATAGCATTCACACTGCAGTTTGCAATATGTATCATGGTACTATTTTACTAAAGGTCTGCATAATATAGAGAAAAGCAGAACTTGGACTCAAAATAAAATGACATTTAAATGGAGACTCAGTTAAGGGGGTCTTATAATTAACATCAAACAACAGATAAAACTTCATATTGTAAGTAAGTTTTTATTTATATATCACTTTTCATACACATATGTCACAAAGACGCTTTACAGATCATTTATTCTTTCACTCCATATCCGGTGGTGGTGAGCTACTATTGTACCCACAGCTGCCAATCTGCGCCATCGGTCCACACCACTTTCATACTAGGCAATGTGGGTGAAGTGTCTTGCCTAAGTACACAACTGAAGTTTTTTTTTTTTTTTGCAACTGGCGCCCCCCTGTGGCCTTGATTTTCCCAGAGGTCTCCCATTCAAGTACTAACCAGGCCCGACCTTGCTTAGCTTCTGAGATCTGACGGGATCAGACTGTGACAAGCTGGTATGACCACATTGTACTGCTTGACATTAGTTAAACTTTATTTATTCCCACACATTTATGAAACGCAGCCCGCCTGTCCTTCAGTACTTTTAGGACCTACAGTACATTGCAAAACATTACACAATTAACAATAAACAACAGACTAGTACAAAGACTTTATTATACCATCAATAGCTTTATTTATTTACATGTGTATTACTATGTGAGGCCCTTAAGCCCAGCCTACCTGTTTCTCAGTATTTTTTATGGCCCTCACTGCTTTTACAACCTTATTATACCTTGACACCAGCTACCTTTTTTTTTTTACACGCTTCTTACTAATACACTGTACTTTTATTACCCTCACTGCAAAACATTACATATTTAACCATAAACAATATACAGTTCACTAATACTAAGAATTTATTATAGCTTAACATAAGTTGCTTGACACCAGCTACACAAAACTTAGGATATGAAGTCCACCGGTTATATTTATACCTCTCAATGCAAAAAAAATAATAACACAATTAACCATAAAGGATAAGCAACATAGTAAGACTTTATTATAATAACTTGCTTTACACCAACTGGACCATTAAACTAACCCAGCCCACTTGTTCCTCAGTATTTTATGATCCTTATTACAAATCATTATACAATAAGCGATAAACATTGGACTAATGCTAGGATTTTATTATGCCATTGTATTTCGTATTTACGCTCCACGCATGTTACTAGGCTATAAAACGTCCGGCCCACCTATTCAATTATTTTATGGTTCTCTTTGCAAAAACATTACACAATAAATCATAAACTGTGGACGAAGACAAATAGTTATTATATCGTATTTTATTTCTCACCTAAATTCAACTTTTATTTGGTATTTCCGCACCACGTTTATCACTCGGCAATACGAAGCCCAGCCCACCTATTCCTCTTTACTTTTATGACCCTCACTGCAAAACATTACGTACTGTTCTTTCACCCTGACAGTGGCAACAACAGGAGCCAGACCCGTGTCTTCCACCGTCTAACCTTCAGAGGATGTGATGCAATGGTTCAATTACCATAATGTAGGCTGATATCATAGCTTGGAGCCTCAGCCTATCAGCGCGCTCCGCTCTCACCACCTGCTACGCACCGAATTCCATCATTCCAAGCATTCCTCCTCCTTCTCGCACTCCACTTCTTCCAAGTCTCCCTTGTTTTTGCCACCGACCTGATCACAACTAGGACTACTGCTACTGCTACTGTCCTTGCCAGATCGGGATTATCTTATTTATCCGTGGAATTTGATCAGAAGTTGTTTTTTGTTTTCTTGGATATATTTCTTGCTTCCTGCTTTTGTTTACGGATACGAACGCACACTGGAAGATACCAAAGTGGCGCTTGTAGGAGGTAAGATGGCATAAACTTTATTCTTGTTTTGTGTCGCTCTTTATGTAAGTTTATTTCTTTATATTTTAGCCAATTTTACCCATACTTAATGAACAGAATTACGCCGAAGAACTGTCTGAAAATTATTGGGTACAGTGAAAGTTTTAGTGGCGCATTCTAAAACTTTCGGGACAATAAACCTATCGTTATTGAGCAACTTAACAAACATGTTTCTCATTGTAAATTTCTGGGAAGTTGTGAATTTACTTGACAAGCTATTCCAGTGGTTTAATCTTTACCTTTCCCTTATCGATATTGTACTTTACGCGTGCCAACGCCGCTGCCGTACCACGTTGTAAACCTGTAATAACAGTTTGTCTAGGTGGCACTGGATGGTGTTTCTTCGCAGATACAGAAATGTTGTACTTTCTCATCAACTACGCTGTTTTCCCAAAGAAATGAGGCGAAAGTATCCGTGGAATGTAGATTGAGGGAAGAGTGCGCTAGTGCGTTTTTTATCCACAGAATGCCATTCATAGCACAGCTGTACTCAAGGTTCAGAATTGTACAGCAGCGAGAATCCTACAAGCTCTCAGTATCTAATTAGTGGGCACATGTTTGAAATACCTCTGAAAGGGCGAAAATACTAAAAATGCAAGGACAACGTGGCTGACATGCGCGAGGAACATTTTATACTTTTGTTGTTGTGTTCGTTTGCAGCATGGTTTCTCCTTTTAGTGGCACATAGTGGCATTTTTACCATACTTGGCCTACTGAACTAACCCACGAAAACTCATTATATATAGTTACACGATTTTAACCTTACTGACATTGTAGTAGACTGCCAGTAGTAATAGCAGTAGTGGCAGGCAAGACAAGTTTATTTGTTTAACACAGTTTGCACATAAAAAGTAATTCAAAGTGCTTTACAGAATAAGAAAGACATTAAAATCACAATACAAACAGATCGAAACACAAATAATCATCATAAAGTTAACATTAAAAGAGAAAAGAGTACAGAACAAAAATCTTTCAGTTATATGCTCAGTTAAACAGAACTGTTTTCAGCCTGGATTTAAACATTGTGTATAGAGGCCTGTAGTAGTAGTACTAGTAGTATGAATAGTTGTAGTACTTTCAATATTTTTGTGGAGTATAAGGCCTATAACATCTCTGACTGCAAATTTAACCAAATACATTGCAGAATACAATACAATCCAACAAGACATAGTGGCTACTGAAAACAAACATTGTATTTGTAGATTTCAAGTCACAACTGGTGTAAGATCAAGTATATCTTATGAGCTCCAAGGATTTCATAGACCATGCAAATTAAGTGGTGAAACTGGTATTTATGGTGTTATGTGGTTGATCTATTCTATTCTGACTCATACAAGCCTATTCTTTGTGCAGGTATCCAAGTATGGAGACACCACTGGATGTTCTGTCGAGAGCCGCCTCATTTGTTCATGCAAATGAAGAAGAAAGTAAGTAGCTTATACTCGTACTTTAACAGTACCACATGTACTACACTGCTGTTATGAAATGTAAAGATACAAGCTTTTGAAGACTGCTGTATATGTTAAACCAAAGTGTTCATAATATAAAGGGATTATGTGGAGTGGCCTTGTTTGTTTTTTTTTGTTTTTTTTTTTATTTTATTTTAACAATAGACTTCTTTGTGTAAATGAACACTTGTAGATCAACAGGCAAATAAGACCAACCACCCTCAACTGCCACCAGACTTAAACAGCTGCGTCTCACCTGTTTTCACTGCTATATGGGCCCACTATCAGTCTGGGAGCTATTAGAAGTAACTACACTGTGTATACCGTATGTTCTAATGTCACAATAATAACATTTCATTCTCAATTTAAATACTGTATATTAGGGCTGGGCGATATGGATCAAAAAATATATCTCGATATATTTTGCTATATCTCGATATACGATATATATCTCGATATATGTTCAAGAAAAAATAACCCCCTAAAACTGAAAACTGCAAAAACAAATCTGCCAAATTCCACAAGGTCCTTTTTTTAAATTGAAGTGTAAGAGGTCGGCAGTTCATATAGGAACATTTAAGATTACAAAAAACCCTAATTACATAAATAATAATTTAACTGTAAAATAAAAGAAATAATACATATTTCCTTCTTTTCATTCATAAATAAAACAACTCAACACAAGCTCATCTTTGCATTAACTCTGTTATCCAGACCAGAACCAGAACCATGAGCTCATTTAGCAGAAGAAGCTCAGGATGTTCCTTATTTCAATAGATCCATGTTATTATCCAGCAGTAAGGAGCTCTGAGGTTTCCCACAATCCACTGCAGATCAAACCCAACATTTCCAAACACTGTTGTACAAGTGACACTGCAGCAGATTATTAATTAAAATCTTCTGCATAAATAAACTTTACATTGCTAAACTTTACAATACATAAAGCATAACGACTCTAGAGCCACATCAGCCTGTTTGCGATAATAATGTGTTTAATGCAGTTTTGGAAAAGGTTCGTGGTGCTTGAAGCTTTTCACTGGCACCAACTTTCGGCGTTCACGGTGATAGTGACGAGTGAAGGAGACACGAGCGAACAAAATCAGGGAGGCGGGCGCGCGGGCAACGAGAGAGAAGGTAAACAAGCGAAGCGGCAAAATCAAAATTGAATATAAATATTATATCGATATATACGATATGTCAGAATTCATATCGAGTTTAAAAACTATCTCGATATATTTTAAAATATCGAAATATCGCCCACCCCTACTGTATATATAATAATAGGTTGCCCCCATGCAGATACAGTGATAATAAAAAGTCACACCTAACCTAAATGTAAAAAAAAAAAAGAAAATCTATGAATGTTAAAAAGTTAATGTCAAAAGTTTGGACACAACCTCTCATTCAGTGCTTTTTCTGTATCTTTACTACTTTTTACATTTGACATATGTACAGAAGACATCAACTATATGAAGTAAGATGTATGGAGCAGTAGAGTTGTTTAACTTTTTTTCTGAGCTACATAATTTCATACATCTTACTTCATATATTTGATGTCTTCTGTATGTATATCGAAAGAGGTAAACAAATAGAAAACAACAGAGTAGATAATTTTAAAACTATCCAGGAAATGTCTCATTTTGTCCAATTTATGTGTTTTTTGTGTATCAATACATGTCCAAAAGAGTATCTCCTTTCAATATTAGTTTTTGCATTCTTAGTATCAATACTTTTAACAGCCTGGGTTTCCATAGTAAACTTTGCCAGGACCTTTCCCGTTCAGATTTATTAATGCCTTTGGAGAAATTTTGGCTGGAAAATTCCTTCCAAGATTATAGGAAGTAGTGACCAGTCCATTTCACATTCACACCAGCTCCCGTGGAAGACTCGAGTGCTGTGAAGTTGAAACATCCATAGTACCATATTTCTGGGTTCCTTTGTTAAATATCAAATTTATTCAGTAACAAGTTGGATGAGTGGAAAATTAACTTGAAGTTTAATCACTACTGAAGCTGGTTGGAACATGGCCCCATTCCTGCTTTTTTTGATTCAAGTGTAGGATAATGAGAAAACATTACAGGATATTTACATCTAACTGGTTTGTAGTGCTAGTAATTCATGCATTGTTCATTGTTCACACTTGCTCTATAGTCTAGACAGCGGCTAACAGAAGAGGCTTTATTTGGTATGCAGTGGTTAGCTGAAGCATGCATTCTCTGATAATACAGCCAAGAAATTCTAATGTAAAGGCTTATATCTAATTCTACATATTCATTATTTTTGCCAAACCTAAAAAATACCTTCCATTATTTGAATAACTGTATAGAAAAAAAAGATAAACTTGATACTAGATGAACAGTATCAATACAGAAATTAATAACGATAGAACAACATCTGACCCTTAAATGATGTTATAATGATTTTGACCACATGGTAATATTAAACAAACTTCATTTATTTTCTCCTATAAAAAATGACGCATTTACTATCTAAGTATCGAAGGCAAGTTTGAAGTGTTAATATCGTGGTAACCTTAGCCCTCTCCCTTGTCACCCGTCTGTTCTCATGAAGTTATGTGAATACCAGAGTCCTCAGAGATTTGAGAGAGTGTCCTGGGATCTGACTCCTCCCCATCCCCCCTGCACTGCTGCTCCCCTGCAGTTGTTTTGTTTTTGCTTCGCGCTGATGTCACTTTTTGTTATGGGCCGAGCGTGGCTTCTTTGTCCAAAAACAATACACTCCACCAGTTTTTACAAAAGCTCTGAAGAAATGAATGAAACCCAAAAACTGCCTGTCTACTATAGTATTCTTATAATTGGAGTTTTAAATGTCTTGTAAGTTGCACCGTGGCTAGTATTTTTTGTTGGATAATAATCAAGGGACATCTTGGCCTTTTAATGACATTGTAGTAATTGGAACATTTTATGACCTCATGAACAGAGTAGTGCTTACATCCTCAATTGGCTGTAATGCAGTGTAATACAAGTCTTAAGACATAATCAGCCAAATAAAGTGTAACTGTGATTCAATTTACTCTTTTAGTTTTAGTTCTTAACATTTATATTGATTCTTCTTCTTCATCTTGCAGCACCAAACTGAAACAGGGTTAGAAGGTACTAGCCAGGCTGGCGCCACCTAGTGCCTTTGATCAATTTAACTTCTCTCCAGCGACTAGGTCAGGAATCAGAATACAATAGACGGTTCGCAAAAACCCCGGAAGTGCAAGTTCGAGCACCAGCCAATCAGTGAAGAGTGATATATTCAGTGTTGTCAACGATTCCCGAGATCGAGGATTTAAAGCCGGAACAAAGAGAATGTTTGGCGAATTTCATCAAGGGGAAAGACGTTATTTCTCTTCTTGCTATGGGATTTGGGAAAAGCTTAATATACCAATTAGCTCCATTAGCGGTGGATTACATACGTCACGACCAAATAGCAGCGGTTGGTTCAATGATAATAGTACCCGCCTACTGTCGAGCGAACGAAATCTAAGGTTGCGAGGTCAGAGGGTTTATACGAAGTGAAACGAAGTAAACTGGCTGATGAATCAGGCTAGTTAGAAGACCTCATGGAGATTTGGTTTTATTTGGTTGTTATTCTTGCAGAGGTTCTAATTAAAATAAAATAGGTCTTTAGACATCCAGTTACACATCTTAATGAAATCAAATGAAACTTTATTTCATCGTAGAGCATGTAGCCCTAAGGACTTCACATAGACAATCCCAGTCATTCCCTCAGACCCACCCACCACCACCCGATCCCACCTTCAACCAGCAAAGTTAACACAGTCATACAGTCACACGCAGACCCCCCCCCCATCCACACACACACACGCGCGCACACACATGATATTTGTTGTGACCCTAGTGTGGACCACGTGAGCAGCACTTGTGTTGGGGAAGACGTGGCTCCGGCCTCGACAGCTGCTCTTTCACTCAGGGACCTGTTCACACCAGTGCATCAGCTCATGTGCACCAAGTGTCTCCTAACCACACCCACCTCCTCCCGTAAGACAAGCCTTCACCAGGACTCTCCAAAACTCTACTCTGACCTCCTGCTGCAGTCGTCCAAATGTTCATAGGCAGTACTTTTTGCACAAATGTGTTCTGTCACTGTAACGCCAACATTTCATTGCAATACAGACCTAAAATTAAAGAGCCCATATTATGCTTTCCTCTGATCTATGTTTGTCGTTGTTATTCCTCATCACAAACATATCTGGACTTGTGCTTTGTTTCATTCACCCATGTTGAACGCACAAACTCTGCATATTTAGGCTGAGTTCTTCTTTCAAACAGAAAACACTCTGTTACACCTTGTGATGTCATGTGGAAATACAGGAAGTGCTCCATTGTGGTTTTAAACTCCATACAACTTCACTAGAATCATTTGGATAATTTCAGCTCTGGAACTGCAAATCTCTGTTGAACTAAATGTAAAACGTAGCTGTTAACTTGAAAACTACCGCTTCATGACATCACAAGGTGGAACAGAGCATTTTGAACTTTGGAGATGTCGACAGACTAATAATCCAGGATTACTCTAACATGTGGGAATGAAACAAAACACAACTTCAGCTTTTTTTTTGAGGAAGTAACAGCATTGTAATGTGGATTAAAGGTCACAAGGGTCAGTTTTGCATAATATGGGACAGTTAATGTTCCAAACCTTATTTAAGGTACCGTGAGTCAGGCAAAGCTATGTTAAATGCACCCATCTGAATATTCCACTGTATTCTCAGCTCAACTTTATTTATAGACTCATTTAAAAACACAGTAGATCACCAGTCTGTGGCCCATTCACTATGTTCCAATATGGGGCCCTCCACTTTAGACACAATGGAACTGCACCTTATTAAAGTATCTATAAGTCTAGTATATAGTATATATGGTGTAGTATTTAACAGCCTTAATATTATACAGTACGTCTTTGCTTATTGCTCTGTGCCGTTGAGTTTTCAGTCAAGTTTGCATGTCTTC